TTTGTGACATTCCATACCGGTGTGTTGGTGACGTTCCATACCGGTGTGTTGGTGACGTTCCATACTGGGGATTCAGTTACATTCCAAACTGGTGTTTCAGTTACATTCCACACTGGGGTGTTGGTGACATTCCATACCGGCGTGTTTGTGACATTCCATACTGGTGTTTCAGTTACATTCCATACCGGCGTGTTTGTGACATTCCATACTGGTGTTTCAGTTACATTCCAAACTGGGGTGTTGGTGACATTCCATACCGGTGTGTTGGTGACATTCCATACCGGTGTGTTGGTGACGTTCCATACTGGTGTTTCAGTTACATTCCAAACTGGGCTGTTGGTGACATTCCATATTGGTGTTTCTGTTACATTCCAAATTGGGGTGTTAGTGACATTCCATACCGGTGTGTTGGTGACATTCCATACTGGTGTTTCGGTTACATTCCATACTGGGGTGTTGGTGACATTCCACACTGGGGTGTTAGTGACATTCCATACTGGTGTTTCAGTGACATTCCACACTGGGGTATTTGTTACATTCCATACCGGGGTGTTGGTGACATTCCATACCGGCGTGTTGGTGACGTTAAATACTGGTGTTTCAGTTACATTCCACACTGGGGTGTTGGTGACATTCCATACCGGTGTGTTAGTGACGTTCCAGACTGGGGTGTTGGTGACATTCCATACCGGTGTGTTGGTGACGTTCCATACTGGTGTTTCAGTGACATTCCACACTGGGGTGTTTGTTACATTCCACACTGGGGTGTTTGTTACATTCCACACTGGGGTTTGTGTGACATTCCAGACTGTAGTAGGCACGGGGGTTGTGGTAGTCGCGTTCCATTGTGGAGTATTAGTTGCATTCCAGGACCCGGTGACATTCCTGACAGCATTATCCTTGGTGTCCCATTTTGACCCGACGTGGTTAATTGCTGGAATATACAAAAAAATTATTTTGATTTTGAATTACAGGTATCGTTTCAGTTCCTTTATGCAAGAATAAAATAGAATTTATTTATTGCTTTTTCTGTGTACAGTTTGCAGTTGTTTGGGCATAAAATTCGTTACAACAGATTTCTTATTGAGCATGCAATATGTATTAAATTGTGCGGACGACGCCACATCAAGATAACCTATT